ACCCGAACACAATACCCCGTTACCGCAAGTACCGGCAGATTCTCGTCCCCACCCCCACCCCCGCATCTCCGTCAAAGAGCAGAGGCGCGCAACACCAAAGATGAAGGACGACACCAACAAAAACAAAAACACTAAGATCCGCAGAGACTGCCAGAACTGTTTTGCTTTTTGGTAGTTTGGATGTTTTTGTTTAGTACTTTTGTTGTGGTTTTGCAGTCATTTCTTTTCCAGTGCCAATTGCCCATAGTAACCGGAGCACCAAAAAAAAACAAAAACAGTTCTTGCATCCTCTCTGGATAGTTGTCTTTGTGTTCTTTTGGTTTCCACGGGAGGCTGGAATCGCCGGTGGGAGCGGGGTTTTCAAGGGGTGGTCTGTCATGGGGGGGGCCATAGATTTATATGTGTTGTAGTTAGTGTGTGTATTCATCTGTGTATGTACATGTGTATGTTTATATATATATATGTAAGCTTCATTATTTTGATTTTATTTGTTTGTCAGAAATTGATAGTGGAGCCTTGCAAAGGTTTAGAAGGTTTGTCATGGCAGGCTGGTCCCAATCTACGTGCTGATGCACGCCATGCGCGTGAACACCCGGGCGAAGCATCGACTGATCTCCGAGCTGAAAGGCTTTGACCTGAAGCAGGCGAAGTGTTTCGAGCTTAGTGTTTAGGGTTTAGGGCCGTTTAGGGGCCTCAGTAGTCGAGTAGGCAACCCTTAACCCCGTTGGGGTACTTTATTCCCTGTGTATATGGTAACCACCAGTAAGAGGCCTCATGCCGCACGGACTTCGACAAGGAGTTCATCTACTCAGCTATCAGGGAGTGGTATGGCAGTACTGAGGCTTTCACGGAGTATGTTCGAGGACCTTTGCTTTGCGCGAGGAGATGCTCGGTTCCGAGAACCTTCGACTTCAGTTTCCGCTTCAGTACCTCTTGCTTGCATCCACTTGCCCCGTGAGCGCCAGCCTCAACACCATCGCCGCGCTGTGGGTGGCGGGCGCACCTGCGGAGGTTGTGGCCACGGAAGCTATGGCTTTCACGCTGGGTTTCTACTTTTTCTGGTTCTTGCCGATGACGAAGCTAGCCATCTATCTCTGCGACCGCTTCGCCGCTCCCAGGCGAGGACTTCCAGAACCTAAACTGGGGCTGAAGAGACGTACAGAAAGATCAGTGGCAAGTAAACAGGTTCGCTTTGTGCTGAAGGTAAAGTTTTGCTATCATTGCTTCTAGTCTCAGTCTCTCTCTCTCTCTCTCGCCCCCCCTCTCTCATGTATGTATATATATATATATGTATATAAGAATAAATACGTACTTGAGTGTATGCATGTGTATGTATGCATATATATATATATACATACATACACACTGCATATTCATAGAATTGTATTTCTGTCTGTCTGTCTGTCTGTCTGTCTATCAGTCAGTCTGACTGCTGTCTGTCTGTGTCTGTCTGTCTGTCTGTCTGTCTGCCTGCCTGGCTGTCTGTCTGTCTGTTTGGCTGGCTGTCTGTCTGTCTGTCTGTCTGTCTGTGTGTCTGTGTGTCTGTGTCTGTCTGTGTGTCTGTCTGTGTGTCTGTCTGTGTGTTTGTCTGTGTGTCTGTCTGTGTGTCTGTCTGTCTGTCTGTCTGTCTGCCTGCCCGCTTGCCTGCCTGCCTGCCAGCCGGCCTGCCGGCCTGCCTGCCTGCCTGCCTGCCTGCCTGTCTGTCTGTCTGTCGGTCTGTGGCATGTATGTATGTATGTATGTATACATGCACACATATTCTGCGAATTGGTTGTTGGTGTTGCTAGTTCGGGAGCCAACAGGTGGTCTGGCTGCTGCATGGACTACCTTCAGAACCTTAGCTTTTTTCTGTGGGGTGGTCTCGAGAATTTCGGAGTCTTCATATAAGCCTAAGAATTCTGCAGCCATGTCCGGGGAGGGGGGGGGTGGTCCCATCTGAAAGATCCTACTATTTGGGTGTGGGATCGCTTGATTGCTCATAGTCCAATGTCGCTGTGATGGCGAGGGGGTACAACTAGTACAGCGCCGAATCATTCACGGGTAAGAACACATCGCACGACCATAATCCCAAGAATATCACGGTTGAACGTTGCCCGAAACGCTGCAAGCACACCAACAATGTCGTGCAACCAGAAAAGTAAACAAAAAAACCCACCAGCTCCATGCAATCACACAATGACTCGCTGTCTCGGGGCTGAAGGCTCTGCATGTAAACGAAGCCTGCAAAAGCCAAACGAGGAACTGAGCATACTAAAACCAAACGGCCTTCTACGGTACGGATCGCGGAAGAGTTTGGAGTGGTTCTAGCCACCCTTGCGGCAATTCAGCATCATCAACTTCGACCCCGAAAGCTCCGACACGTGAACGCGCCGAGTCGTTGGCTAAGGACTGGCCTGATTTTCTTGTGCTTCTTCGCCCTGTACTATGGAGGTGAGATGGGATCTGGGAGACTACTAGGATTCTGCACACTCGGAATAGGAAACGAGCAGGACTCCTGCCATTTCACATCCAATCGGCAGGATCATAGGATGCAGGACAGACCACGACTTACAGATTTCTAGTTTTCGTTCTGGCGTGCTGCACAGTTGCACGGGCAATCTGAAGGAGATGCCATTGCGACGGCAGCCACCCATGTTGGTGTATGGGCCTGTTCCGCTTGGCTGCTCTTTTCGATGCGCCGCGGCGATACGGAAATGACGAAGAAAGTAGGCTTTTCGAGTTTGGAGCGAGGGCTGTGTTTGTTTGATTTTTAGTGCTTACGTGGCTTGCGTCCTGACAGGGCGGCAAGGCACTGAGCAGTGCCTGAAGTCAGTCCAGCATAGCCCCTAAACCCTAAGTCCCCTAAACCCTAAGTCCCTGAAACCCTGAGTCCCCTAAACCGCCTAAAACCGAAGTCCCCTAAACCCCAAGTCCCCTAAACCCTAAGTCCCCTAAACCCTGAACCCCAAACCCGAAGCCCAGACCTCACCGCAAAAAGCCGGCAAAGCCTATAAGCCCAGAAACCCTAAACCCCTTGAGCCCGAAGACTCGGAAGCTTACAAATCCCTAAACCATAAATCCCTAAACCCTAAATCCTACGCCTACCTATAGTCTCCATTGTAGTTCGTTTTGGTTTTGGGGATTGCAAGATAAGACCCTGATTTTATAGCTGGTTCAACCAACAACAGGAACAATGGAGATCGCAGGTAAGCCGCCTGAACCCTAAACCCTCAGCCCTAAAACCCAACACCCTAAACCTTAAAGCCCTAAACCCTAAAACCCTAAAACCCAAAACCCTAAACTCCTAAACCTAAAACCCTAAACCCCAACTCCTAAACCCCAAAAGGAAAAAAAACTCAAAACCCTAAATCCCTAAACCCCGAAGGCTTCTCTGCTGGCTTTCCTGCTTCGGCGGCTGGGAGCTCCTGAGCCGTCTCACGGAAGTCTACCGACCTGGGTAGTCGGCGCTGCCCTTATAGGGGTTTTAGGGCTTTTAGGGGTTTAGGGCCATGATTTTGGGGGGTTTGGGGGTTTAGGGATTTTGGTGATGTTGGGGTTTAGGGTTTTAGGGCTTTTAGGGGTTGTAGGGCTTTAGGGGTTTGAGGTAGGGTTTAGGGGTTTGAGGGCTTTAGGGTTTAGGGTTTTAGGGCTTTTAGGGGTTTAGGGGTTTTAGGGCTTTAGGGCTTTAGGGCTTTAGGGTTTAGGGCTTGAGGGGTTTAGGGTTTAATGCTTTAGGGTTTTAATGGTTTAGGGTTTTAGGGTTTAGGGTTGTGCTGTAGACCGCCCCGACTTAAGGTTTAGGGCTTAGGGTTTAGGGACTTGGTAAGTAGGGCTCCAAGTACCTTAGTAGGGTTGCGAGTATAGTAGAAGCCCAAAAGTTGGAAACCCAATAGCCTCGATCCTTAAGAGTCTTAAGAGTCATGCATAGGCAATCCCAGCACTTGTTGTCCTCAATCCGGTTTCCAACTTTTTGGGGTTTACTATCACCCCCCCCCCTCCCCCACCCCTAAAAGAGGAGGGCCGTCTTAGAAGGATCCAGAACATGGGATGGCAAACTGAAAGAAATTTCTCGATATCTCTTTCTCGCTCTCTCTCCCTTTCTATTTCTCTCCGCAAATATCAGCTTGTAGACACTCACACACCCAAGTGCGTACAGATGGTCACGTCCAGATTCAAGCAATTTTTGTTATATTGTTTATTTATATATGCACACACCTATCTGTATATATATATACACACATGTATATTTACATTTGTGTGTGTGTGTGTGTGTCTGCGTGTGAATCCTGGACGATGTGATGAGTTTTGAGTTCAAGTGTGTACTTTAAAGCGTTTTCAGAGCAACAGAGGGAGAGAAAGAAAGACACAGATAGAGACACTAGGCAGACGCTGGCGTTTCTTAGCTCAAACCGCTGCGTTCGATATTCAAACCACTACCCAGGTGGATGATGTCAAGCATTGCTCGGAGGAGAAAAGCTGGGTTGAAAGCGGGGGATATCTCTCAAAGACATTGGAGTTTCTTGAACTGCTGGACCTGATATAGTCAGGCCACTGCACGTCACATTCTGGGCCGGAGGATGCGTTCTAGGATGTAGGCATTCGGATAGCTTGTGCAGCAGTCTGAGCTTGGCATTTACTCTGGCTGATTTGGGTGGCCAAGACTCGTTGGTGTGATACGAGTTCCTTGCATTGTGCGTCCGGGGGCCAGTAGCGATCCCGGTTGAGCTTGTTTGGGCTTCACGCATTTCTCTAGAGCACCTGTGATCTCCCTCCATGTCAAGTGATGTATGCTGTATACACACGCATGCATGCCCTCGTTAGTCTACCTAAGGTCTAACACCTTAAGGCCTTAAACCCTGAATCCTGCAAAATCGAGAAGTGTATCAAAAGTCGAAACTCTTTTTTGGAGGCCTCGAACCCTAAAGCTTAAGCCCTAAAGCGGCAGTCCCTAAACCCTAAATCATATACTTATACGCCCTAAACCGGGCAGTCCGAGCAGCGAGAGTCCAAACTCTTTGGAGGCGCTTCAGGGCGAAGCCGGAGACCGTTTTCTCCGGCTGGTGGACGAGCGACTGGGCCCAGAGGCGACGAAAAATCGCCGAATAGTCTGTTTGGCGTTCGGGGACCCTAGGGTGTGGGATTTAGGGTCCCAGGATTTAGTTAGTAGGGTTTAGGGCTTTGTGGGGAGGAGGTTCATGACTGAGTGCCTTAAAGAGACAGCGACCCCCGGAATCCTCAGAATCCCATCACGAAGGTGTTTTTTTGTTTGATGCTGTGTTGTTTCAGAAGGGTTGTAATAGTGTTGATATAAGTTCCTACGTCAAAGTTATATCCCGAAAAGAGGGAGGCACAATGTACTTTCAGGAATTATGTGCAGGGTTTAGGAGTGTTGGGGCCTTAAGCAGTCGAGAGTGGAGCCCTAAACCCAAAGCTCACCCAGGATGCCCAAAAGTACCCTTTAAGAGCGCTCCTTGTGGTCCAAAATAGTGGGTATCTAGGATATATTAGAGGGTAGTTGGGGGGTCTAGGAAAACCCTGAACTCTGCCCTACCCCCAACACCGAATCGATGCGCCAAGCGTGGCTTGGAGGTGGCTCCACACATCGCGCAGCTGCAGCGCACCAGGCCGGCCTGCGGCTGGTGGAGTTTAGGGCCAAGGGGGTTTAATTATGGAGTTTCTTGGGTTTGTAGGGTTTAGGGCTTAGGCGGGTTAGGGTTTAGGCAGGGGTTTAGGGTTTCAAGTGTAAGGATCTTAAGGATTTGCCTGTATGTCTCTTGTTTCTTTCATGCGTAAGACTCCAGGTAATCCAGCTGTAGGACGGGACCTTCAGGTTGGTGCTCCGGGGATCTTGTGAGGCCCGGGAGTTGGGGAAGGCTGGGTTTCAGGTTCTGATTTGGAGGTGTAGACCTGCGGCATAGGGCACTGGGCACGGGGGGAGTTGTTGATGGTGGCTTTGTTCTCAAGAAGAAGAATTGACTTCTCGCAAATTACAGAGACCCGAAGATCCTTGAGCTGTGTTGGAGGCTCGAAGTGTATGGGGGGGTTTATGCGGGGGCTGTTGGGGCTTTGGAAGGCTGACGACAATGAGGGTACAAAGCTGTTCTTTCAAGGATACTATGAGGGCCCAATCCGCCCGCCCAGGGTGTGAATGTCTTGGCAGCCGGAGGCTGGCTGGTATGGCTACGTGGGGATTCGTAGCATTCCTCCTACAGAAGGGTAGTGCAATGTACCCTCAAGCCCTATTCTGATCATGAAGCCCCTACATTATTCGTTCCAGATAGTCATGCTGGTGCTGAAATCATTGGCAGTTGGTGAACATGTCTACTTCAAGCTGCCTAGTGAGCCAGTACGGTTCGTGAATGTGCATACTTACTGCTAGGTTGAGCTGGCCGTGGGAGGGAGTTTCAGAGCAACAGGCGACCCAAAATAGTCCTAAAACAGCAGAATCCTGCTGAAGTAAGAAGGCTCGTGCACCGGAAGCCCAAAACCCCAAACCCCTGGGCCCTAAACCCTAAACCCAATGCGGTGGGAGGCAACAAAACCCCTATTTTCCTAAGCTGGTAGATTCGGCCTCTACTCCTCCCAGGCCAGAAATTCAGGATCCTTCCATGCAGCCACTGTGGCAGCTGCCGCGTCCTCTTTTTTTTCAGAGGGCTTCGGTTCTCGGGCAAGTTCTCAGACAAGAGCTGATGGAGAAGGGTCGGCTAGAATAGGTGCTTAGGCTGCTTAGGCTTACAGGCTTTAGGATGCGTTAGGTCTTATAGGTTGTCCGGTCCTCAGGTGCGTTGCTTTGCAGTTCGAGGGTTGTCGGAGTTGCGCCTTCCGGGTTGCGGTAAGGTCTTAGCGCCCAAGGTTTTTATGTTCGAATTTCTGATGGGCGGCAGCTAGGATGATACCCTTTGCACCCTTCAACCGCTCACCGCCGAAGGGATGTTTGTTTCAATCCAGGGAACTGCGAGGGAACGGATAAAGGGTCAAAGGCTTTTGCAGGGTTGCTGGGACTTTCAATTATGTAGGGTAGGTGATGGCAAGGCAACTCGTAAAGGAGGCTATGTGTATATCCTGGGTACGGCTGATCGACAAAAGCTTGCATGACTTGGAGTTTCGTGGGAATTACAGTAGATGTGTTATGAATAATCAATCATTAACAGTCAGTAAGGACACTTGGATGAACAGCTCTTTTCCTCAGGACACAGCACCACGTGCCAGAGCCTCGGTCCTTCAACTGTTGTCCGCGAAGATCTTGAAGCCTAATCGGCACCATTATCGTCTTCAAGACGATCCTCAGGTTCAAGCTGAAGCCCTAAACATATTAGGGTTTAGGGCCGCAGAGTCCGAAGCATACCTCGTCCTTGCTAAGTAGGAGGGGAAAAGCATATTCGGGACCCGCTTCTCCTGCAAACGTGAATACCTGGAGCCCGTGCGAGGATGGAGCAGGAGGAAGCTGACTGACGACGCTGTAGACATTGGAGGGTTTAGGGAGTTTCGGGTTTCGCGTAGGACCCCTTCACGGCCGAAGAAGCCGATGCGTACGTCGAAATCTCCGGGAGCTCTTCCCGCAAGAAAAAGAGAGGATGTCATGGCTTTGTGCACGGGCTGGGGCGTTGCTTGGCCGCTTGGATAAGTCTAAACTGACTTGACCCAGTCAGAAGCGTGCTTTCTGCTTTATAGTCTTTGGTGGATAGCACAGGAAAGTGGCGCCAAACCTGAACTCGCAGAGCACGCACAGTGGTAGCATTCGTTCCGCGACGAGTTGTTCTTCCGGCAGAAGGCTCTTCAGATGATATATTCAGTCCACACCACTCGATTACTGCACCACCCCAGTTATCTTACCAGTGTCGACTGGTATAGTTAATATACCGTACTTACGAGTTACATGTGAGCACTGGGTGTCGTCGGAAAGGTAAAGTGTGAGCTCGGAAATACAACCTCAACAACACCTGACCTGCTCCTGCTCCTGCTCATGCTGCTGCTGCTGCTGCTGAGCGGGAAAGAGGAGAGAGGGAGAGACGGAGAGAGAGAGAGAGAGAGAGGGAGAGCGCGACCAGTCCGCGACCAGCGAGTAATCAGAACGACATGGTTAAAGTAGCATAGAGAAAGCAGAAGGCACCGTCGCGCAGCAAGTGTTGTACAACTGTATAACTATCTGATCATGTCGTTAATTACCCTGGTAACGGTAACGGTCTTGGAGGCATCGGCACTGCACTGCCTACATTAGCCGTAAAAACAAGGACTGCGCACATGAAACGCCCAAAGCATCCGCTTAGGTTCGGAGCTTGGAGGTTTGAGTCGAGGTTCAGTGTATTGCTTGCACTACTGCGGCGCACCTGGTTCAAGCTATTCGCAGCACGGAGGTTTTGAATGCAGAGCAAGCACATCGTGAGCAGAGCCCTCTTCGCACTCTAAGCGCAGAGGCCCATGCATTGAACCGACAAAGTTAGCAAGATGACAGCTAGTGGAAGGAGAGCCGGCGCCCTTCGCCCAATTTGTTCCATGTAGCCGTTTCCACAAGCAAGTGGGTGCTCGCACCCAGGCACCAACAAATCGGTGATCGCCATCACCGATGCCTGAGCCAGGAAGCCCTCAACAACTTGGTGTGCCATCGAAAGGCCTGGGACGAAAAGTTACCCTTTGCCTCAGTGTTGCAATCGTTTCCTGTGCTTGCTGGATCATGTCACCTGCGCAGGGTGATACAATACAAGTCCGACTGTGGATGTCGTTCAACCAAACTCCGGAGGAGGAACATATGAATGACCCGTGGGTCATACCTGCAGCAAGTGCCAACACCCTCCCGCCTAATCCCCTCCCACAAAGCCTCGACAACATGAGCATCCAAAGTAACGATGTGCCAACCGGGCCCGTACCAGCTGGGCCGGTTCCAAGTGGGCCTGTGCCATCGCCATCACTTGATGCTCTTATTGCGGCGTTGAAGTGGCAGACGCCCAATTGGGCAGAGAAGCTTTGGACCGAACATTGGAAGCCAAGCAGATATGGTGGTGCAAAAGCCTGGGCCGAAGTAGATGCAGTCATCGATAAGGCCGGTCACCGAAGATGTGGGACCGCGAGGGATAGCTGGTCTTGCAATGGGATCGGTTATGCCCGTGAGCTCAACAAGACGAGATTGTGGAATTCGAGCTTTGACCTTTTTCGGCTACCTCCCGGAACGCAAATTATAGGGTTTGGCAACTCCATGTTGGCAGAGTTGGTGCATACGGTCATCTGCAACCACCAGTGGGACCTTGTCATGCCTTCTCCGGACATTCGGACGAACTCAGTCATCGCGCACTCCAACACCAGCAACATCACATTGGCTCTTATATCGAACGACCAAGACATCGACGGCTCAATGAAGCCGTGGCACCCAGCCGATCTGGTCAAAAGGGCGGACTGGCGGGCGCATGTATTCGTGGTTGGAAGTTTAAACAACAAACAAGAAAAGAATGCAACCTGGAAAGACGAGCGGAGAAATCTCCTGGGAGCCACCAGTCCCGATGCCACGATCATCGACCTCCCCGGGAAGCATACGGGCGATTGCTGTTCTACCCTTGGCTGTGGTCATTCGAAAGGTTGCGAAAACAAGTTCATACCAGGACACACCTGTCTTCCTGGGCCAGTGTTGCGATACGCAGAACAATTGGTTCATGTCATGCATCAAGCAGTGCTCAAGAAAGATCTAACGCAGAGCTGCCTGGGTGTTGGCCTAGAGCGCCCTTCGTACGAATGTGTTTGATTGACTGTTAGCTCTGCTTCTCCTTGTTCAATCGAATGCTCTCGCGGGCGCAAGCGTGTGATCTCGGAAGTTTCACCAACAGCCGACTTGAGGATGCTCCGGGTACAAAAAGCCGCAATTCTTGTCCAGGGCTGCTGATGTACCCGCGGTAGCTGAAGATGTTGAACCCGAGGTTAAGCCTGAAAGCCAGCGCAATTGAGGACATCAGAGAAACTGCAGTGAAGCCACAGAGAGCAGCTCATGAGTCTCCCCCTATGCCATTGCATAAGAAGTAGGATAGACCTGTAGAAAGCGTAGCATGATCTCAAGTTGGAGCTTATTCTCCAGTCTGTCGCTTCTCAACAGGGAGGTGAAGCAAGGATTCGCAGTTTCTCCTTGCTACACTTGGCTTGCTGTAGAGGCCTGAACAGTTAGTTATCTTATTGCTTGGGGTACCCTAATCAAGTTACGGTAGAATACACCCCAATAAACCCCAGACTCAGAATAGTCCACTTGTAAGCATTGAAAAGAAACCACTGACGCCCCGAAAAATGTACTCTTCGACCTCGGTTTTCTCCAGATTCTTCACAGATGTCCGAAGCTCTTGGCTTGTGTCGCGATTTCACAGCGTCAGCTCGTATGTTGCCACAGCAGTCGGCATCGCTTGGCGAGAAGTGCATGGTCTATGACTCCTGAAATGCTTGGATAGAATCAACTCCCAGACTTTAAAGGCAATCTCTGCACGAGCAGATCGGACGCTGTTGCTTTCTCGCCATGCTCGCCATGAAGGGTCCAATGCTTCATAGGTTCTTTCGGTGCAGCAACATCAGTCATGGTGTCTATGGGAGTTGAGCAGCACGGCAGTCGGCCATGACTTCCGTCATTGCGACGGCGAGCGACATGACTACCCACTTGAGTAGCACTAGCACCAGGAGCTCGCATCAGGTGGCAGAGATAATGAATCACTCTTGCAACTCTCTGCATCACCAACAACGACACCTACGATACCACTGCCTTCGCTAGTATACCAGTATACCACAACCAACCATGATTACCGTGTCACTGCTGTTCCTCCATTTTCTCCACTGCACTCAGCTGTTGGTGCGGACCCTATGCTCACCATGAACATGAGCTCCCGACTTCGGTGGCTTTGTGCTTGCGCCAGGTTCGGACGTGGCTTTATGTTCAGATTGTAGGGTTTAGGGTTTAGGGTTTAGTGACTAAGTTTAGTGGATGCAGAAGCCGGCCAGAACCTCGGACGTGCTCGCGATCAGAACAGGCGACAGCATCAGCAGCAGCAGCGACGGCGGCTGCTACTACTGCTTGCTTTGCAGGGGTTTAATCATGGACCATACTGCTAGCAAGCAACCAACTCATGCAGCTAGAAGCCGGTAGAACATGGCATCATAGCAGCCTGCAAGTGGGCTCTTTCTGAAGACTTGTAACTTCTGGTTCTGTAATTATGCGGAGTAGGACTGCGACACAGCCATCAGCTTTGAAGGGGGTCAGGAGTCGAAGCTTTCACGCGTTTACCTGCAGAAGTCGGCTTCACGTCAAGAGCTTCGGGGTGTAGCGGCCTTGTTAAATGCCAAGGAGTGCCGGAAGCTTCGGCTTGAGTCTGAACTGCCTGCGTGCATGGTTCGAGCCTCCAGCTACCATCTCTCTTTCTCTCTCTAGTTTCGAACACGTGCTTGGGCAAGGCCATTGACAAGAAAGGATTGGGTCAAAGCTTTAACTAACTCTTGAGACCTCGTTTGAGCGATGTCCTGCCTATGAGAAGCTGCTCGGTGCTGTGACTATGAAGGAGACCTTTCCGCGTGAGAAAGGCAGTCGAGCCAAGAACAAGACGGTCAGCATCGCAAGGCTGAGTAAGGTTTCGGAAACGGACGGACAAGTCCAGGAAGCCAGCTCCCATTCCCATTCTCAGTTGGAGACAAAGTCGGATCCTCGCAATGACGGATCTGATTCGAGAGATCCGCGTCAAGCAGCTAGCTCTGACTCTGGCTCTCACAGTGTTTGGTCTGGCGGTAGTAACTCCGTCTGTGACCAGGCTAAACTTGAGCATCTTGGGCGAAGCAGCTGTCTCGTGCGAAAGAGGCGCCAGATGCTCAGAAATACTGATATTGACCTTTCTGGTCGTTTGATGAGCCTTCACTCCGCGGCAGCCACAGGCCGAGGTGACAAGATAAGCCGCCTCCTCGACTTGAAGGCCCAAGTCGACGAGGTGAACGACAGTGGTCAAACACCATTGCATTGTGCAGCAGAGGCCGGAATGTACGAAATGGTACAGCTTCTTCTTGACATGCGAGCGGCTGTAAACGTGTCAGATGCAGGTGGTATGACAGCTCTGTGCTTGGCGGTGCAGTCTGGGAACGAAGCTGTTGTGACGCACCTCATTTCGAACAGGGCCGACACTGGCAGTTCCACAGCACTGCACTTTGCAGCGGAAGGTGGTCATTGCGAAATCCTGAAGAGCCTCCTGCACAGCGAAGCAACAGTCGATGAACCCGACGGAGATGGCTTGACAGCCCTTTGCTTCGCAGCCAGAGCTGGGCAGAAGCTTGCGGCCATGACCCTCCTCACCGAAAAAGCGAAAGTTGATGGTCTTCGGCCTGCCCGGCTCGCAGATTCAGCTGGTCGCACACCATTGTTTCTGGCTGCAGAGGCCGGACATTGGGAAGTGGTGGCACATCTTCTAACACGGAGAGCCAATGCCAATGGAAATGTCTGGGCAGACGGCCGGACCGCAGTTATGCACTTGGCAATTGAGACTGCACCTGAATGGGTGGCATGTCAGCTCGTGGAGCGCAAGGCCAAAGTCAATGCTAGAAACAGCAGTGGCGAAACCCCTCTTCACTTGGCAGCAAAGTCAAGCACCGGAGAGACCGAGTGGCTTCAGAGACTGAGGGTCCTTAGGCCGAATGTTGATATCAATGCCACAGCCGAAGATGGCCGAACAGCTCTCATGATTGTAGCGGAGGCTGGAAAGTTTCAGCACGTCAAAAGCCTTGTCATTTCAGAGCGTGCGGACGTTAATTGCAGCAGCAAGGCAGGCCATACAGCCCTTAGCTATGCAGCATGTGCTGGACACTGGGAGGTTGTGGCGTTGCTTCTTCAGTGGAGGGCCTTTGCAGATGCCTCGCCAGATGGCAAGACTTCCCTGCACCTGGCAATTGAGGCTGGTCCTCCCGAGTGTCCCCAATGGGTTGTGAATCAGCTTCTGAAGCATAGCGCAAACGTTAATGCAAAAACCGAAGACGGCGAAACGGTTCTTCACTTTGCAGCAAGGTCTAGCACGAAGGGTGAGGATTTTGATAAACTCCTTGAACTGGCTCATGGTATTCTCGACGCCATATCAGCAAAAGACGGATGCACGGCTCTGATGCTCACGGCGCAAGCTGGTAAGATTCGGGAAGTCCGGAGCCTTGTCGAGCGCAAGGCCGACGTCAATAAATCAAATTATGATGGCGAAACGGCTCTTCACTTGGCGGCCAAGACAAGTGACACGATGGCGAGTCTGCACATTACGGAAGCCCTTTGCTCTGCCCCTGGTATTGACCTCCAATGTGCCACCACGTATCTCGGATTAACGGCATTGCACGTGGCGTCAGAAATCGGTCGCCGTGATGTAGTGGTGCAGTTGCTTGACTGCAGAGCCGCCATAAACAAGCCAACAAAGGAATCATACAGCGCCCTTGGCCTTGCAGTTGTCCACGATCACAGCGATGTGTTCGAAGGCCTGCTCCAACAAAAGGCCAACATCAATGCAGGCCGCAATCCTCTGAGCCTTGCAGCAGAAGTCGGGCGATGCAAAATGCTGCAGAGAATGCTGGATCCTAAAATGCATCCGAGCGACAAAGACAAAGAAGAAGCCCTGATCGCTGCTGTGAAGAATTCGGAGTGGCAGGCCGTCGAGCTTCTTCTCGAAGAGGGAGCCGAGCCTTCTGCCCGGACTGTTGACCAACAGACAATCCTTCACCTGACACTCAAGGCGCGGCCAACGAACGTATCCGTAGTTCAGAAGCTCCTGGATCTCGGGGCTGATATTGGAGCCGAAGATAGCTTCAACGTAACACCGCTGGATCTGGCATTGGAGAGGTCCCTGGCTGAATCGTTTGTACTTCCCAAAAACCGTTCCCTCTTCATCGCGTTGATACGAAGTGGTGGACCTCTAGCCCTGGAGTGGCTAGAAAAGTGGCCAGTGCATGCCAATGTCCGATGCACAGATGGCGAGCCGCTCGAGCTCAAGCGAGCTAACCTCCGAGAACGACTGCGCGCAGTCATCGCGCCCGAGGATAAGATCCAAGAGGCCTGGGACGTTGAAGACCAGTGCGTCTTGGTTTTGGCTGTGCTTGTGGTTGCTGGTTCTGGGGCTGGTGCTGGTTCTGGCGAGTGGTGTGTGGTGTTTTGTGCGTGGTGTGCTATGTGTGTGTGTGGAGTCTGTTACTGTTGTGTGTTCTGTGTCATGTGTACTCTGTGTTGTCGTTGTTGTTGTTGTTGTTGTTGGTTGTTGGGTGTTGGTTGTTGGTTGTTGGTTGTTGGTTGTTGGTTGTTGGTTGTTGGTTGTTGTTTGTTGTTTGTTGTTTGTTGTTTGTTGTTTGTTGGTTGTTGGTGTTGTTGTTGTTGTTGTTGTTGCTGTTGTTGTTGTTGTTGTTGTTGTTGGTGTTGTTGTTGTTGTTGTTGGTAACGGCTGTGTAACGGATCCCACGCTTTTCGCCTTGTCAGGCCAGGAAAACCCTGGTGGCGTGACCTTCTTCTTGTTGTTGTTGTTGTCGTTGTTGTTGTTGTTGTTGGTTGTTGGTTGTTGGTTGTTGGTTGTTGGTTGTTGGCGGTTGGTTGTTGGTGGTTGGTGGTTGGTTGTTGGTTGTTGGTGGTTGGTCGTTGGTTGTTGTTGTTGTTGTTGTTGGTTGTGGTTGTGGTTGTGGTTGTGGTTGTGGTTGTGGTTGTGGTTGTGGTTGTTGGTGTTGTTGGGTGTTGTTGGTGTTGTTGTTGTTGTTGTTGTTGTT